TGAGATTAATATAATGACAACATTGACTCCTCTGTTATTTTTGCGATAATAGTGTTTTTGAATACGATATTCAAATTAAATATTCACGAATATTAAAGCAAAAATTTGAAATTCAACAATTTAAATTTATACCCTCTGTTTTCCCGATAGCACCACCATCAGCGTTATAGTGATCAATATTTGCGTTCATACAACGCAGCAGTGTAAAGTACAAACAAAGCTTAATGTAAAGAGGAGTAAAACGTATATATGTCAATCATCGTGAATACACGGGTCATCGTGTATACACGGGTATTTACTGAATTAATTTGATTAAGTTTTTATTATGATATTATACCTTTTTTTTTAATTAAGCGACAAGTTGTACAATTTTCAAAAAAATTTATTTTGGAGTTTGTCTTAAAAATTAGATGAATTTTAAAATGTCTAATAATTACAGGAAATCTGAATTATATATTTTTAATAAACGAGAATAAATGCTTGTAGTGGGTAAAGCAAGCGTCTCTTTGCGTGTTTTTTTAATTTTACTTCAAGCACAATGTTCATACCATTTTCAAGAGCTCATTACTACTATATACTCAAAATAAACCCCATATACATACGAGTGTATGCACATTTATAATATATATATATATGTAGTATATATATATCTTGCATATATATAGGTAGAGGTCTTTAAAACCATATCAATCAATCGATTTTCAAAACATAATTATATTTGTCCTTAAAATGAATAAATGCAAATAAAAACAAAAATCCAATATGCAAAAAAAAAATTTCGTATGTATGAACTTAGTTGAAGCTTTGAAACAATGATCCATATTCATGCCGTTTTGTACCTATATGTGTTATACATATTATTGTTATACATATATTTGTTTAATCATATAAGCTTTGCATAATATACTTACATACATAGCATAATGTTGTTTGACTAAAATGGAAAGTACATTCGCACCTGGGTGTTACGTACGCTTGTACCAAGAAGAAGAAACGGTGATTTTTATAATTATCATAAATTTATTATTTATATATAACACTTTGTATACTGTTATACATATACTTATTATTAGTGTGTATATTTGTAGCGCAAATTTTTTTTCTTTAAAAAGCATTCAAAAAGTTTAGAAACAAAGAAATTAAATTTTTTTTTCTTCAAATTTTTGTTTTTATTATTATGCAACTCTTATGTTCATAAGTAACCATAACAAAATACATATTCATATAAGCTGTTGAATTTAATATACAACTTTTTTATTTTACATAATAGACAAGTTTTTCGAATATTTAAAAAGGAAGACAAGACAAGAAAATAAGAAAATTAAAGAAATAAAACAAATCTTTTAAAATATGGTAGGTACCAGCTATACGCAATCATTTGACTCAAACAATAATGCAAAAACAATCATTTAATTGTGTGCTATATGAGTTTATGGCCATAAATTTATGAGCTATTAAAAATTACAATAAAAAAAAAATTACTGGTACTTGAATGAGCTATAACATAGTTAGAAGCATTATGTTTTTTTTCATAAATTTTTAAAATTTCGTGATTACGATTGAAATTACACTTACAATGCACTTCAGTATTTTTGGGAAGAGAAAATTTATAATTCTGAAACGTACAGTTCTTAAGGGTATATTGAATTGAATTCATTAAATCAATTGCATATTTATAGGGGTTTTCGTTGTAATCCTACTATTTGTTCAGCAAATTTAATGAATTTTTAATTGAAATTATGAGTGTTCAATTTTGCTACTAACATTTGACATTTTTGTTAATTGGGATTTTGTGAACTCTGTATTAATGTTTTAAATATATTCATAAAATTACCTTATGAAATAGAAAACCAATACTAATATGAAATAGAAAACCAATAATAATAATTTACAAAACTTATAAAACAATTTAATTGTATATACTTGTGAATATCCTACAGTTGCGTGATATAAAGCTATTTTTTCCTCATTTATTTTATTTATTTTATAGCTAGCTGTATTATAAAAGGTGTGCCATTTCGTTTACTTTTATATAGTATTTAATGAATGAAAGAAAAATAGCTTTCACACCAAACACACATGGTAGGGCAAACAATTCAATCAATTCAAGTATAGCATTTTGTAATTGTATTTGATAAAATTGCATTTCACTTAAAAAAAAAATTTCATTCAATTATAATAAGAGTTGTGATGCTTTTTAAAATCGGGTATTTTTAGGTTAAGAAAACGAGAGAAATAATAATTTTTATTGAATATCGCTGTAATGGAATAAAATTGATACCAACAGTTAAACTTTTTGTTATAACAGTATGTAATTAAAAGCTTTTTCTCTTTGATTTTCGTATTAGATGAACTTGAATCCTCAGAATTTTTAATTACGAGTATAAGATAAACTTCCATGAAATACTTATGCTGTAATATTGAACTTGATCTTTGTTCTTTGTTTTTGCTTTTCTTTTTTTTTTAAATTACAATTCTTAAGATATATGTTAAGGAGATTAAGTTTTTGTCACTTACTGCCACTGCAATTTTTTCGTTAAATTCAATGATTGTTAGGATTACCAGATTCTTGTTATTTTTCTTTTTATGGAATATTTGTATTGCTTTAAAAATGGAAGCTGTTTATTTGAAAAATTTTAAGATTCTTTTAGATACTTGAAATTAAAATTTGATTGGATTAAGTTAAACTATTCCAGACTAAATTACATTAATACGATATTAAAGCACAATTCAGCTAAGTTAGTTAAGCTAGTTAGGAAAGTGAATAGAGGACCCTTTGGCGCCCCCTCCATGAAACTGTTCTCTCCGCTAAATTCATCCAAGTTCATATATACTCCCACATCTACTCATATCGTCAGTTAAGGCGCACTTCACATTAAAATAGGGCTGGTATAGAGGTATACGTCCTCCAACACCCCGATGTCTGAACATCTACGGCAAACTTCCGATGAGGAGATCGCCGGCCGCTTTGCCATCTTTTCCAAAAAACAGTGTCCTGTCAAAATGCCAACTGCGGTAGTAAGATTCCCCCTTCGATCATACAATTCAGCTTAGAAGGTGTTGTTGCTGAATTGTGCAACAGTGCGATGTTACTGCATTTTCACTGCAAAATCACCGGTTTACTAACTTATTTACTTTTATACTTAAAATTTATATTTTGAATTATTTCATATAGTGACATATAGTATAAAAATTTTTTTTGCGGTCATAAAGATAAATGAAAAATTGTTGATAATTAACATTTTGTGGTTAAATGTTAAGCTTTGTAAAGCTGTATGTAGAAACCACACATAAAGTATATATACATGCTTATAATATGTATATACTCGTATCAAATATTTACCTGACATATTTACTTTTGTAAGTTTTGTTAATCCGCTAGTGTGTGTAGTACGCAGTGTCACCCTGTTGACGTCACATGTCGGTTAGTCAGATGGGCGCTCAGCTCTTGCATTTTAAGTTACAAAAAGTTTGAAATTGTTAACTAAATCTGTGGATAGTTATATTAGTCGTCTTTGAAGAAGTTGTTACCATAATGACTATAACTTATGTATCTACAAATTATACATAAGTATACAGTTTTTGAGGTGTATCGGCAACTTTTCTAAAGTAATTTTTAACAGCCTTTGTGAATTAATAAAATAATTTAATCTTAATAAATGAAGATTTTTATAATGAATTATAAAAGTCTTCATTAATACTATTTTGTTGGAATGTGTTGTAGTTCAACATGCGCATAAATATCGGAAATTTATGTATGTATATTGGAATGTTTTAGATATTAATGAACCGTAATATTTTATATCATATTCTTATTTATAATATGTTGATAAAGAATAATGTAATATAATTATTAATATTAAAATGATATTATTTTTAATTTATTTTCAGATTATTTCGGCATTATTCACATATGCACACACGCACAACATTTTTTAGATATCAAATGAAAGTGATATTCTCTTATATTTTATTCATTCAACGCACCCGCAACTTCGGTTTTGGATTTGTAAATAAAAATTGGAATAATTTATTAGAACTTTTAGCTAGACAATAACATAGACACGCCATATTTTTGATTCAGTTTATTAAATTTATTTAGCAAAAGTTTTTGTTTACTATGAAAATGCAAAATTCCGCAAAATTCATTTTTATGTGAAAATTATTTGGGGAAAATTTAATAAAAATTCACAAAACTGCTATGTACAAATTCAGTGAAATACAGAATGATTACGGAAATTAATTTAATTAGATTTTGCATAAAATTAATTTTAATTTTTCTTGGTCTTGGAGGAAATTTAATTAATATTTATGTTCTCAAAACGCAACGAAAGTTTGTATTCCGATCTATATATTTAAAAAGTACAAAACAAATTTATTGATTTTGATTTCTTTTAAATTTTAGGCGCAGAATAACCCAAGCAAATAAATTTTTAAAAACTTTATGCATTCTAGATATTTTCAATTTATTATTAATATTTGTACAAAATTTCGAAAATCTTCAAATTTTACATTTTGGATATGTAACGTACTGGTATATAAGGTTACCTATAGATAATATTGCAAGTTCTATGAGTAAGTATGTTAATTCTATAACGACTTTTAGCATATAATTTTATTTATAATTTTCATTTTAATTTTAGATTACATTTTGTTGTTGTTTCTAATAAGTTATTACAAATCTAGCTGCTATCCTTTTAGAAAGAATAAATTTAATGACAAACTTTGGATAAAATGTTTGGCAATTGGTAAAGAGTATATAAAGATCGTGTCTGAGACTCGATAGAACTTTCGAAGCAGAAAATTTATACAAATTTTTCTAATTTTGAATAAATAAGATGTTTTCCTCATAACCAGAGAAGGGGGAACCAAAAAACAAAATATCACCAGGTGTTTTTTGTTTCTCGAAAAATATTTTATCAACCTGTTTCGAAAGTTCCATCAGATCTCCGATACTCTTTATATTTTATAATATTTCAAGGAATTTCTATTGAAACTGAAATTGGATCATATGAGTTATCCCTAATATTAATGCTCTTGTGTCATTAGAAATAATTAAAATCGAATCCATTAAATCTTAAATATAATTTTTTTTTGTTTATTTTTAGGTTCTGTGTTTCTCCTTTATTTTATAATAAAATTTCCAATAATGTACAACAATCCAATATTAGTTAAACAAATTGTTAATGATAATGCGATGAAAGAAGTTTATAACGATACAAGGGAATTAACGAAATTACAAACAAATTATAATGAAAGCTATCAAGAACTGATCCATAAAACGGACAAATATGATTTTCAAAATGTAAATATGTATTGCTTTAAATAATATCATTGTGTATATAATTTATAATGATATAAGGAAGGTAATTTTTGTAATTACACAACGAACTAGTTTTCTTTGAGCGGCTCATTAGTAGTAAATTTGAATATAGAATAGCGCCGCTCAAAAAAAGTAGTGCCTTCCTTATATTACTATAAACTATATACAAAAAGATAATGCTCAGAGATTTTGCTACTCATTTATTATTTACTTTTTAGGTTTTGTACTATTTACCTGGTCTCGAAGAAATTTACAATAGATCATCAATTAATTTATATAAAGAAATTACAATTTTTATTACTGATATATTGCCTATAATTTTAATTTTAATAATTAATATTATGTTTATTGTATTATTTAAAAAACAATATTATAAACGTTTAGATCTTACACAATCTAAAATAATTAATCAAAATCAAAATATTTGTAAATCTTGGTGGATTTTTAATATGCCACAAGTATTAGCCTTTATTAATACAAAAACAATTTTATTATTATTTCATATTCCATATTTTTTAATATTTATTTTACCATCAAATTTTATGATTAAACAATTGTATTTAGATTATTTATTAATATTATTTAATTTATCATGTATTATTAGTCCTTCAATTAATTTTATATTATTTTTATTATTATGGAAAGATTATCGAAAAGATTTATTTGAAATTATTCTTAGATATCATAAAAATCAATTGGATGAAAGTACTTTACCAAATACAAAAAATTCTAATTCATTTAGACGTAGATCAAAATTAGAATCTCTATTGCAAACTGAACTTACTGAAAAATAATTGTATGTTGTTTAGATATCATTTGGAATATAAATATTCAAAATATAGAAATTGTCATAAATAAGACTAGAACATATACTTAAATACATATTAAAATACTTTAAAAATTCTAATATAATTACTTAATAAGTTTTAAGAGTATTTCATTCATTTAATGCTTAGACGCATTAATTTACATTTACAAACCCAATGTACTTTTAAAATTTGAAAAAAAAAATTAAATAGTTCAAATTTATTCAAATTTTGTTTATTAATAATAATTAATATAACAGTTTTTTTAGCAAAAAACGGTTATATTTCATAAATATTTTCGCCGAAACAGTATATATAAGCGAATTCGCTGAGAGAAAGCTTATTTCAATACTGAAATTTGTTTATTAGCAAGTACACGAACCTTTTTTTTTTTGTGAAAAAGCTACTTGCTTTCGTAAATTTATTTTAGTATTCGCTTTTCTTAACTTATGTGAATATACAAACTTTTAGAAAATGCATTTATTTATTATGAAAGGTTTGGTAATATAATAATCTTTTCATCGTATATGATTTTTTATTTTAAGGCCAGATTTTTAGAAAATATTTATTTTCATAAGTCTTTAACAAAAAGGAAGAATTTCTATTTAAGAGGCGTAATTATATTAACGAACTAATTATTTTAAAGCATTTTTTTTAAACCAAAGCCTTCACATATACAAGGAAGACAGAGTTGACAACATCCGATGCCTGTGTAAAATCGAGCCTGTTATAAGGTTCAAAGATTTTGGTGGCATAGAAAGACAACATATAAACTGCACGTCTTTGTAAATAGGTGTTTAAGGGCCGGGTCATACTGGCTTCAACGTATAAGCAACTCCAACTTATGGGCCGTAATTAAACAAGAAAAAATATTAATGTCTATAAAAAAAAATAAAATGGAGTTGGGTTAAGTAGAGGAATCTTCAAGGAAAACGAGGTATTGGCGGCCCCAAAAATACATGATGCGAAACTATTGGCAGACAAATTATTTTTGCAGTTAGAAATAACATTTGGGCCGAAATAACAAATATGGGTAAAAACAGAGTGCGATGAAGAAGCTTTGTAGCGGGCCATGATGATTAAAGAAGTAAGAAAATAACTAAGGAAAGCGTATTGTATTGATATATCTTATTCGCGATTAATTGTATAAGAAATTTTGGGGTATAACATTAGTAACTTTAATTTAAGTTAACAATTAAGTATGTAATATTTAAATATAAGCCACTTCATGGTACAACAGTCTGTCCCATAATTACATATAAATAAAATGGAATCTTTCCGTTTATATAAAAATAGTGAGAGTAAAATGTAATTTCTCATTTTAAAAATCGTGGATAATTTTTAAATTTTAGTTTAATTAGTATTGGTAATTTAACTTTGGCAGTGCAGTGTTAGTTATACTGTACTCTACGAAAAGGAATTACTAAACCACACTCTTTCATCTCCCCCTCATAATTTTAATATTAAAAATGTCCAATTACTTTATGCACCATTTGAAATTTATGCATCGAAATTAATTAAATTTTTTCTGTAAAATGAAAATCTGTATTACATAAAATTTCAGTAAAAATGTAAAGTAAATAAAAATTGAAAATTATTTCGTAAAGACAACAAAAACTATTAATATTATTATAGAAAATTTACTTATAAAACAAAAGTTATAAAAAACGAGAAAAAAATGACGACGCGATAAAATGTTAATAAATATTGTCCCCGCACTTAAAGAGTTCTAACTGGCTATTAATTTGACCCAAATTCGCATAAATAAAAATAATTTTTGTCTTTTCAAATTTTTTTATTTTTACTTTGAAGACCGCACAATATACAAAAGTATTTAAAGGACAAACAGAGAAAAAGTGATTCTTTTTAGTGGTTTGTTTAATAGCACACTTTTTTTTTTGGTTCTATTATTTTGGTGGGGTAAATGTAACTTTTATGATAAGAGAAGTAAACTATAATAAAAATCGTAAATTCATCATAAATTTGAAAAGATTCGCGATTCTGTTATACAAGAAAAAGAAAGAAAACTATTTTATGATTGTAAAGATATTTGAAATTTATAGCGAAATAATAATATTTTTGCAACACTCTCCGTATTGTTTATCCGTTCTTGAGTATAGTAGTAAAGGATACATAAGATTTTCTAGCTATACGTTGCTTATAATCTTATTTTCTTTATCTTGATTTCTTGGAAAAGCTAAACTAATAAAGTAAAACCATATGAACCGGAAATTTTTAAATATTTTCTTGGATTTTATTTTTTATGTTTGTGTTCTGGTGTATATTGGTATTGTAGAGATGATTGAGAAGTAATAAATCACATATAAATAAATATCGAACAAAATCTGTACATATGTATGATGTTTGACAATATTTTTATGAAATTTATTCTTTAGAATATTTCGAACAAAATTAGTAAAAAATTTACTTATTATTTTAACACTGCCAGTCAGAAGGTTCCTCCCTCCGTTCAATCATTCTTCTGTCTGTCATGAAAGTCTAAAATTTTAACAGCTTCCATATTTTATAATTTATTATCATTAAAAAATAATATTTTATGTAACAAGTAAATTTTTTATCTACCTTTTTCCCGTCCAGCGGTAATTTCGATTCTCAAAAATAGTAAAATTCAGTTTTCGGCACATCATTTCTTTGAACCTATGCAGATATATGTACTTTATCAAATTTTTACTACACGAAATAAGTAAAGGCTCAATTAATGGGCCAAAAACTCTCGAGCTTATGCAATAATTATGACGTATTAAAGTGTTTTCGAGGGGGAAAAGTACATTCGCATGAAAAACGTGATTCCATTTCGAAATGTGCTACTTTACAAACCATTTCTTTCATTCGAATTTATTTTCATATTTATTATATTTTGAAAGACAATGCGGTATTTTAGCTTAATATCACTGAATAAAGCGAATATAAAAAGTAAAGATTTATGTAAGTATTCTTTTTTAATTTAATAAAATGTTTTAAAGGATTAGAGTTGAGAATAGCTCTATACTTGCAATAAAATTAGTTTATTGAAAATGTTTTGAATAAAAGATATAAAAATTTTTTTAAAACAATTTTCTTCATGATTAATTAACAAAATATCAAAATAAGTTAAAGAATTCGGTCAGAGTTAATTGATTAAATTTAAAAATTTTAAAATTTATTCAAAAACAACTAGTTTTTCTCATTTGTATAATTTGTAAAAGAGAAAAGTGTTCTCTCTTTGTTATTTATAATATTTTTTAGATTGCATACTTTAAGACATCGCAGTGAAAATATTTAATCATTAAAATTTAATTTTATCAATATTTTATATTAGCACGAATTTTTTTAAATCCAATTATGTGTTTGAGTTTTAATATAGTTTGAGTTATAAAACTTAATATATTAATTTGAATAAAAATTCTGTTTAGAAAGCACCCCATAACAACTGTGCAATTCTTGAGCAAATGCATGGTTGAATGCTTTTGCCTTCTTATTTTTTATAATATTTTGACATGATGAATTAAAATCTGTCACAAATATTTAAAATAAATACATAAATAAAATCAGTAACAACAACAAAATAAAACAATTAAGATGCTATATCGACAATCAACAATACTACTAAATATGCTGTGTTATAAACATATTATATTTTGTTATGATGCAATTTTACGGTTCTCCACGTGCTTTTTCAAGTTATTTTAGTACATAAAATAATAATAACAAGAAGAAAAAAATTAAATTACTCATGCTTGAAAATACTTTTTTTACTATGAGAAAAGCAAAATAAAAAACGAAAAAAAAATTCATTCAAGAAAATAATATTTATAGCATGCGATAAAAATTGAAAAAGCTTTCATTTATGTCATGAAATTCTCATAAAAAGTTTTTAAAAATATAGAAATTTAGAGCGAATTCAAATTGTGCATTGGTGGTCGAAAAAAAATGAGTTCTATAATGAATTTAATTTATTTTTTAAGCTTTAAAATTTTTTTCTGCCATTAACGTAAGAATTAGGTTTTCAATGTTCAAATAGACATTTGTCAAATTATTTGAAATTAATTTAAGCAAGTTTTTTTAAAAGATGTTAAAAGTATTGATCATATATGATATTGATCTGATGCAAGATGCAAGTTATTTATGTTCGCAAAATGCAATAAAAAGTAGATTTTTCACTTTATTCTATCTACTTTAAGCATAAATTAATTAATTAATTCCAAAACTTATCGAAGACGTATTAAGTTTTGAAATTTTGTCACACTGACTAAAATAAACGCGTCCAAATTATTAAAAATTTTATTTCAGCTGATACTTTGGTTTTACAATTTTTTTAATATTTTGTTGTTGTAATCGTAATGACATGTTTTGACTCTTTGTATAAAGTGACAATTCGAAACTTAACGAACTTATCTCCCTTTCGACGCGTTAATTTTGATTGAACAGATTCATTTCTTTGCATTGGAATTTTTAATATACGTCTGAAGTGCTCATTTTGGTTACCACTTTAAGCACTCTCAAGTAAATAATTGAATCAGAAATAAATATGAGATTTATTAACTGAAGAAATGGAAAAAACTTTTCATTTTTCACTTTTACATACTTTTTGCAGCCATATTAATTTTCTAGTTTATTGAATAGTTTTTGCTTCCTGGTAAGTTTAGATTCTGTAATAAAAAAATTTTGTATTATAAAAATAGTTACACATTTTTCTAACTAGTTAACAATTTAACGATTTCACTAGTCGCAATTAAGATCATACGATACATACCTGATTCTAAGGAAAAAATATTTCTCTATAAAATTTCAAAATTCACCGTTATATTATTTCAACAATAATGTTCATTAAATTCAAAAAATTTAAAATCGCATACACATACACAATATTATTACTTACCATTATTATGTTTAGCCAAAATATGAATGTATCTATGATTGTGTGTAATGAAATAAAAAATGTTATAAAAAATATTCTTCATGGCGAATTCTTCACATGGAAAAATAAA